CTCGTACATCACCTTTTGTTTTGGAGTTCAGGCTAAAGGGAGTTTGTGGTGGGCCAGATGGGGGATTTTCGACCAATAAAGGGGGATATTGGTTAACGTTCAACTTGCACACAGGTGTTTCGACCATTTCTTTCAGTGTAGCTAATGCACGAGCCTGTACATCCACACTTTGTCAGTTGACAGGGAAATCCTAAAACATTGCAAATTCACTTACATCATGTGCAATGTGTTTAGAATCCTTCGGTGGGGCAGGGTAAGGTGGGAGACCAACACCAACACAGATTCCATTCTCATCAATCAAGATTATCATCTTCTTTGCCTCTTCTATTATCTTACACTTCTTTTCCATTTTCATTGAGTATTTTAAGACGTCAAGGAGGCTAGGATGTCTAATACAAAATGGTTTTGGAAAGTCGGGTTGCAGTAAAACTCCCTGGTCGTAGCAATAGATGGTTTCGTAGACAACAAAGGCGGCGTCAAGGAGTTGGTTTTGTCGGTTGGTTTGTGGTGTACTGGTGCCAGCAAAAGTTTCGATGATAGTGGCCACCAGATCGCAAATATGCATTTTGGCATCAGTCTCCTGCATAATGAAAACCGCCAGGATATTGAAGTCTACAGTTTCCACATGGCTATCCTTGTGCAAGTCAAGTAGCCACTTGTTTGTTTGTCACATGACAGTCTTGATGTCTTTGTCCCCATATTCTATTCCCCGCATTTTGAGAACTGTGGTGAATGAAGTACATTTAGAACCAGTTTAGTCAGCATGGGCTCTCAATAATCAGGTCAATAAAAATTCCATTGGTAGGGATGATACTCCTTTTGTCTGTACGCCAAAAGGAGAACCACCCCACAATAAGAGGGAATTGGACTAGTACACCCAAATTTCCCATCTTACAGCACCTCTGGATTATCAGGCAGCACTTGGTTTTGTCATTTTTGGCCTCCCACAATCATGGTTGATGATATGTCCTTTGGTAGGGATGATTCACCTTTTGTCTGTACGCCAAAAGGTGAACCACCCCACAATAAGAGGGGGATTGGACTAGTACGCCCAAATCCCCCATCTTACAGCACCTCTGGATTATATCAATCAAACTAGGGGGCCAATGAAGCTTATGGGATGAAGAATTGCATTGCTCACAACTAAGCTGGGGGGGGGGACTCGGGTTTGGTTTGAAAACAATTGGTGATCGTGTTGATGCTGTTGAAAGGGAGAGAATAAAGGGTTGTCAGCCCAAAATAACAATTATGCAGAAATGCCCACTTGG